TTAAATTGTAGTTCAGGATGTAATTTACATTTAAAATGGCTGTGTACGCCACTGAAACTTTGTTGCCCCGAAGAATGTTATAGACATGGACTGTATTTCTATATTTTAATTGCATAAGTTTCGAATAATGTACTTAATGCCATTTAATAATGCACTGATGTTATTTTAACTTGTGTATATCAAAAAAATTATACTTGTAAAATCTCTTCTAAGTAATTTAGCAACTGCAGAAGCAGCTTCTCAACTATTTGCAAGGAGTTATTTTAACTATGTACAGTGTTTAAATAAAAGTACTTTTATCCAAAGAATATTTAGATATTTAAGTTATTATTTATTGGATTAAAAATTTGGTTAATAAGCGGAACAACTGAGTGTAGACTAACTGGAATGATACTTTTAATTTTTAAATACAGTTTAATTTCAATAACTTGAATCTAAGAGAAAAAACAAATTAATTCACATTTGAAAATTTTTTTTCGAGTTATATGATTCAAATTACACTTTAAAAGGCTAGAAAATAATGTAAGTGAACGTTTACAAAAAAAAAAGCAGGTCACTTCTTAGGTAACCAATTTTGTACCATGACAATGACATAATCTACCTAGTCTGAAGAGTTTAGCTACACAATGGGAAATAAAAAGAGAGGCTATTCTATAATGAGTGTTTGATATAAATAGGGACAACAAATATCAAACATTTTCTTAAAACTTAGTATTAAAAATAAAAGTTAAATTTATAATAAGTACCTAACTAAACTTATTTTAGTTATAGATTAAAATATTACTTTTTAATTTCTTCGGATAAACCTATTGAAAAATTATGTTGAATAGCTTCTTGGTACATTTTGAAGTAAAGATTGTGATCATTTTTCACATTTTCGGTAGCTGATTCAAAAATTACATTGGCAACAGATCCATTTAATGCAGGATCCTCTGGGTTTAACTCTTTTCCTGTCAAAAAAAAAATATTAGTCATTAGTGTTATTACATTATTTTCAATATATATTTTATTTAAGTTATCAATTAAAATATTATAGTATAAAATTAAACTAGATATTACCAGATTTCAAAACCTTTTGAGTGAGTATTTCTGAATAGGAAAGTTCGCATTTAAAGGCTTCAAAATATAATTTTGACGAAGTTTTATGTGCATTTAATCCATCAGTATACAATTCTCTAGCTTTTTGGATATTTTTTAAATCTTCAAATTCTTGTTTTACTGCAAAAACGTAAAGTGAATCTGAAATGTGACCATGTAATAACAAGGCGCTGTTTATAACTGTCCGTAACAAAGCTACTTTATCCTAAAAAATAGAAAATAAAATGTCTCAAGTTATTGCAATTCAATAAAGTAGAAATTTTTCAATTGACAAGAAGTAATCTATTGTCAATTCACCATTAAGTACTCTAATAGTTATTAACTAGTAAGACAGGTGTGAATAGAAGTTGTTAATTATTGTGTTCCATAAATTAAAATATTAAATAATCCTAATACATTTTGATATTTTAAATGTATATCCGTTAAGATTAGGTAGAGTAAATTATAATAAAAAGTACAAAATGTCTTTACTTACACATTTCATCAGGAATTTTATGTATTCTTTCCAAAGCGATACATCATCTTTGAAATATTTTAGAGACGCACGATAAAGGTCTATGATTCGGTTATTATGCTGATTAATGAGCTTAAGTGATTCAGTATTTGTTGAACCCATCTATTATAGCAAATTACATAATAATATTACAAAGATAGTCAAATTTTAGAATTATTGTTGTACGTTATTACTTTTTTAACTTTCTTGATGATTGACTTCAAGAATGTAATATAAAGAGTAAAGTCTGACTTTTGTTTGTTTCGACGCATCAATCTATACTCAAATTTTTCTCTTTGATTCAATATATTTCTGTAAACATAGCACGGAAACGTAAGCATACAAACAATTTAGATTAATAGTATGTAACATGAATCAAATGGTAGTAAATATTTAATTGGCATTGAAGTTTCATAAAATATTATTACTTCACTGCAGATTTCTTGAAGTGACTATGAAGTACTGGAACTTCAACAATCAATTCTTCTTTGCGTCGTTGTACAAACTCCGCCATCTTGAGATTATAATTCCAAACAATATAAACTGTATCTACTCAAAGCAATAAAATGTATTAGAATTTGCAACCTTAGAACGAATCAATCATAACTACCTAAGTAAAATTAAAAATTATTCAATTTCAAATAATAGGAACACACGACTCAATCAGCAACCGCCTATCACAACTCGTGCCGCACAATCACTGAATAGTGAATAATAATTAATAATATGGCACATTCTGCACAATGTGCGTTTATGTTACATAACCTCAAATAGTTTTAATAATTTTCGATTCCACGATAATATTAGGCGTTTGTGTAGTTGTATGTCTTTGCGCCCAATTTTTGTTTTTAAACATTTACGAAATAAAAATAAATAATAATATTATGCTGCTAGCATGAAGCAACAGTGGGGTGTCGAGTAAATAATTAAGGGATGGGCTAAATTTATTCGACGTTCATCTCATCAAAAGAATACAATTTGAGTGTTTATTACATAATATACTATGAACTATTGAATTATGATATTACATTAGGTACCTTGGGATAGATACTAAATAATATTATAATGACCCGTCGAGTTCAGGGATATTAGGAAAAAAAAGCCCCCGGAAAAAAAGGTCCAGGAAAGTCTTACCGGAAAAATAGTCTCCAAATTAATATTTGATTTAAATTCAGTCTTTTGTCGTATAGGTATTTATAAGTACATAGCCTTGCCCTATAGGATATTAGCATTACATGTTACATATTTTATTGAAAATAATCAACAAACTACTAAATTAAATAGGTACCTTTCTAGGATTAAAAATTATTGTAGATACAAAATATATATATATGTATTTATATACAAAATTATAGGTACATGTTAAATGTATTGAAAATAATATAATAACATAATATCTTAAACATATAATAATATTATTTAAAAAATATAAAAATGCATTTATTCAGATAAAAAAGATCTCTTTCTTATATTTTGACCTATTTGCTTTAAAAAATTAAGAATATCTGCAGATTTGTCTTTATCAAAACGTTGACATAAAATGTTCAATCGAACTATTTCAATATTTAACTATTTCTATTTTCAATCGAATAATTTTTTTACCAGCTTTTGTTTTTTTCCTATTAATTTTTCCTAAACCAGCCAATGCCATTCTTGCTTTGTCCGTTCCAACTTCTTGACCCATTTTTGTTAGTAATTTCCAAATACTGGGATGTTTAATGCCGACGAGATGGGAAAACTTATTGTTCCAGCCTTCACAAGCATTATTGGTTCTGTGTGGATTTGATGACAGAGTTGTTATATTAACGTTCCATGATTCTGGTACAAAAAATGGTGGTGTTCTTCTTAAAATTATATTTTTTGTTTTTTTAACTTTCCTGAAAGTACCTCCAACGTAATTTTCATCAAAATACTGAAGTATTTTTTTAATTTATAAACACATATTAATTCTTGTGATCATTAAAATCATGATTATTTAATTAAATACCACCTATCAATTTTATTTTGCCTGAAAAAGCATATTGTGATATTAATATGAGGTGTGACGTGTGAATCACATAGGAACGTATCGCCAGACTGTGTACTGATTTCAGATGTGGGGAAAAAACCATTATTTTTTTTTTTTTATTTAGAAAATAAGGCTTCGACATCACAGGTCATTAGCCTAGCTTAGATTAAGAGTACAAGACAAAAAATAATATGGCTTAATGACTACGGAAAGGGTTTTTACATTGTTAAAGTTTGTTTATGAGGTGGATTTGAGTTAGAAAAGAGAAAGATTTAATAATATAATTTTCGTTTAGTGCTTCATACATATTTGGTGGTATAGCTAGATTGTTTCTTGCGTCCCTGTACTTTGAGCAATCCTGGAAGATATGTTGTATTGAGAGGTCGGCGTGGCATTCGTCGCAGGTAAAACCATTATTATATGAAAAAAAAAATAGTCAATACTAATACACTCAATATAGTCATAACTCATAAGTCATAAGCATAACACTTATTATTTCGTCGACGGACGGCCTATCTATAATTATTAGCCCTCAGATAAAGCATAATACCATTGATAATAGGTATATATATATATATATATAACATATGCTAATCAACGTATCATGGCATATAGCATAACGACGAAAAACCGGAGTATTTTAAAAATAATCAACAAATATTGGTCATCAAGGTATTTGACCTCGTCGAACATACGAAAATAACTACATACAAGTATACAACGCAATGTTACTGACTATAATGTTTATCACCAATGGCTAATCGTATTTATATCAAAATTGCCCGAATTGAAGACGTGTGCTTCGGTTGAGAGACATTTTGGTATTTAACATGGAGCTATCACTTGAACACTTAGTTTCGATCAAGAATGGACGAGAATCGTTGATATGAACAAAAGGAGTTCATTGCCAAAAATATTTTATTAAATAAAACCATAGCACAATGTGTATACTGTAATGTGTAAGTATACGCGATTATTTATTGCATTCCAGGTTGCATTTGATGAAATAATGATATACATACTATGTATTTAACATGTTTTTATTATTTTGATTGAAGATATTGAAGATATTTATTGTACTATAATGTTTGTTGTAACTACAGGCTAAAACAAAATTATGACAATTCAACAATATTGTAGGTTCAAGAGAAAAAAAAATCAGATGTGGCCCGGTCATAATTTTGTACACGAACAAAAAGTTGGCAAAATCAGTTTACCAACAAAATTGTACTGAACAATTTTATTTCAAAAATAATATTTAATTTATCTCGATGCCTCTACCAGGTGGTTTTAATTATGTCTTACCCCTAATCCGCATATTATTATGTTGTCGGTCAGTTTTAAAAAACATACAACAGAGGAAGCAAATTTGTGAGCAAAACAATCAATTTTGTGTTTTTAGCTTTAATATTAGTGAAAAGTGAACTGACTAATCATAGTATAATTTAAAAATAAACATTATATTATCCGGGTTTGTACTTTTGCGTCTTTGCGTCTTTGGTTTTTTTAAAATATTAATCTGTAAGTAAGTTAGATTATGAAAACATAAAATATTACAAACAAAAAACAATCATAACTCACCTAAAAATGTTAATATTGTAAAAAACCAAACTATCAACACAAATTATGTTCTTATCTATAAGTTTCATAAAATATTAATTAATTGTAATAATTAAGACAACAACACAAAATTGCTTCTGCCGAATGCAAATTTGGAAAGTTGTTTATAGTATAATATACGTTTTTAAGGTGGAAGTCAAAAAATAATGTCCTGCTTATAGTAATAGTTAACCTTTGTAGATTATACTCGTACACCAAATATTGTCCGTTAGTTTCAAAATCGAGAAATATTGTCCGTAGTTCTCGTTCTTGAAACTAAAAAAAACATGATAAGTTTATTCAATAATTAATAATAGTAAAATACAAAATAAACACCCAATAAAAAAAAATAAAAATATTATGCAAGACTAAAATATAGCCCACGTGAAAATTGAAACCCGATATGAATATATGTCTAATTTGTTGCCTATTTAGACTCCTTAAAAAAACAATATATTTTAGACCAAAACTGCAGTATTTCCATTTATATAATAATACATTTTATCAATTGAATTTCAGTACACTACTATTAAAACTCAAGTCATACAATTCACCAATTTACTTGGAAAAAAAGTCCAAGATGACAAAGTTCGGTAAATATATGTAACAATATTTAAAGGGATACATTAAAAAAACAAATCAATGATTTTACTTAGTTTCCTTACCATCATAAACATACAGTGTTGGGTAAGTTACTTTTTAAAAGTAACTAAGTTACGTTACAAGTTACAAAACAAAATAAGTAACTAGATTACTTAATAGTTACTCGAATACAAAAGTAATGCGTCACGTTACATTTTTTACTCAAAAGTAACTAGTTACAATGACGTTACTCTTGTGTTATTTACGTTTCATAAAAAAAAGTCTTTTTTAAATCAATCTTTTTTTATATTTATTTTATACAATAATGTATTTTCAAAATTTTTATCAGTATTCTAGCTCGTTTTTTTCGTACAAATATCTCCAGCTACACTAAAGAGCCTTTCAACAGAAGCTGAAGAAGGGAGTGATGTATTAAACTTAAAAACTTTACAAACATTTGTTTCATCATAGGTTAACTATTTAAAATTTTTAAATCGCCTGTATAAACTATAATAGCACTCCACTTCACCATTGGGTTGATCAGAAACTGGGTTAAAATCAGTAAAATTGAAAATAATATTAACACAAAATCGTATATTTATAAAATTATATTAGATTATACTGTGAAAATTTTGTAATTACATAAATATCTACTTAAATTATTAATATAATTACATTTTCTGATGCGGATACGAGGGGAAGGACTGCCCCTTGAAATAGCACCACGATAGTATCCCCCCCCCCCCCAAAAAAAAAATTAAATTTATAATGTAACGCGTTCTTTTGCTAAGTTACTTCTAAATAATTAACGTAGTTACTCTTGCGTTACCCAAAAATAATAATAACGAAGTTACCATAACGTTACTGAAAAATGTAACTACGTTACAGTAACGAGTAACGCACGTTACGTTACTACCCAACACTGTAAACATACAATATATTATAATGATTCTTCAGCTTAATTAAGTATTAACTATCTAGATAACTATCTTAACTAAAAAAATTCAGGTATTTAAGTATGTATAACAATATTAATGCCGAGTTACATAATACATATAATCACTTAACATTTAACGAACCAATAGTGAGGGAATGGTCTTTTAAACATGAATATAAGTGGCCTATGATTGGTCCATTCAATTTTATTGGACCGTTAAATTAATAAATTGTTCATGCAACCAGGCGTTAAAATAATATATTCAACCGATATATTTTGTCGATATTGGTACCTAAAAAATTATTTATTATCATTTGGTTACAACTTATACTAATTTTATTATACTAATTATTGGAAGTTTGATTGTGCATCACATCATATTTTTCCTTTTGTCGAATTATATGTATTGGACATTGTCACCACTGAATTTTTTACTCGGGCTTTTTCTTCTAAGACTTTTTTACCTCTGACTTTTTGGTAGTATACCATTCTTACCAACGAGTATACCTCAAGAGCCTAGACTACCCGGGCACCTGAAATTCGGTAATGCTGGAAAACAACTCATTGGCATCCTTTATATTGTTGTACGTTTTACCTATA